GGGAGGGGGAGCGGAGGGATGTTTGATGTAATACAGGAATCAGAACGTGAGGGCCTCGGGGTAATGAGCTGTGGGTGCCAAGGTAATCAATGTGGCCGTAGTAGACCAACCCCCCACCCTCTCGGCCAGCCCCTACGCGCGTGTCTCGAGGGGGTGGGAAAGAAAGAAAGGGGGGGGGGTATGTCGGTGTGTTGCCGCTGCAACGCCGGCCGTTTCAACAATAATTAACGTGTATTTTTCTGTGCGGGCGGCGGAACACATATGCCCACGGCTTTCTCATGTCCGCGAGATCATGCTCCTCCTTCATCTTCTGCTTATGAACGCCACGAGGAAAGATCCCACCACCCCGTTTCGCTGTTCCTCATGCCTGTGTGTTTCTGTGTGCGCAGGCATTAACTTCTTGCTGACAGACGCCGTGACTTCGCCGGCAGCAGACCGCAATAACGGTGATTTTTTTTTACATATTTGCAATAATGCGTTATAACCTTGCTTATTTTACCCGTACTTTATAAGCCGTTTATGCCACCCCCTCACCGCTATACTCACTTGTGTTTATGTCGCACTTGCACCCGAGCACCCGTGACAGTTTCCATGGCAGTGTTTTCGCACATTCAATGCGCGGGAAATTCCCTCAACTGCGTCTAGAGTCAAGTGCAAAAACTTGATTGATACCCCCTGCTATTTTATCTAAGACATAAGTCTTTTTCAAAAATCGGTCATTTATGCTTAATACAAGGGACATTTTCATCGTCGCCACAGCTCGGCGAATGTGGAAAAAACCTAATTGGCATAGTGGCTGCCGGGGTGCAATACAATTACCCAGCTGGAAGGCCCGGCACCGCTTGCAGCGACATGTCGTTAGAGCCGTCCACTCTCTGTCGCCTCTGCAAGTGGCACGGAACAGCGCGCCATGAAGTGGTATAGTGCCCCAGCTCCATTGCGCGAATTACTGCCATTACGACTTCTCTGACAAGCAGCGCGGACCGGGGCCGGGCGCAGTGGTCGCAAAGCAGTAAGTAGCGCACAGTCGGAATTGTATAAAACTGTGAAGAATAGCCGCGGAGTGGTGAACTGACCTACCTCGTGCGGTTGACATAATCGACAAGAAAGGAGGAGGGGGGGGGGGG